CTACTATAATGTCTACTACTGCTGATACTACCACAACAATGACTACCACTACTGATACTACAGTGTCTGCTACAACTAATACAACGTCTACTACTACTACTACTACTACCGCAATCACTGCTACTACAACATCTACATCAACGACATCTACTACTGGTACTACTACACCAACAACGATTACTACTGCTACAACGACACTTTTACTACTTCTGCTACCACTATACCAACGACATCGACTACTACAGGAACTAATACTTCAATAATCACAATTACGATCGATACTACTACAATGACTACTACTACTACTACACCAACAACGACTACTACTACTACTGCTACAACGACACCTTTACTACTTCTGCTACCACTATACCAACGACATCAACTACTACAGGAACTACTACTTCAAAATACAATTACAATCGATACTACTATGATGACTACTGCTACAACTACTACTACTACTACAACAACAACAACAATTACTGCAACCTTAATTATGATAATCGTATTAATACTTATATTAATGATAATAAAAAGATAACAGGAAGACAGGTCAGAACAGTGATAATATTAATGATAACAAAAGTAAAAGTAATACCATTAATGATAAAAGTGGCAGGGGGAGGGGGAGGGGAGGTTGGGAAATCAGGGAGAGGACAAGTAATAATAATAATAATAATAATAATAGTAGTAGTAAGTAGAAGAGGAAGGAGAGGGAAAGGAAAAAAAAAATAAATAAAAAACAGAAAAAGAACGCAAAGAATAGAAGAAAAGGAAAGAAACAAAAAGAGTCGAAAAAATAAAGTTCAGCGAATAAAACAATGAGAATAATAATGATAATAATAAAAAAATAAAATAAATAATAATAATAGTAATAATAATAAAAAAAAACATTACTATTAAATGACAATTACGAATTATACAAACCCACAGGAAATAGTAATATTAATAAGATGTATGATGGATTATTAATACTGTAACTATAATATACTCATGCTGGTAATAATAATAATAATAATAATAATAATAATAATAATAAAAACAAAAAACAACACCAGTTTTAACAATAACTTGAGAAGGTGGAAGTTGTATGGGGAGCATTGTGGTATAAAGTGTTTGTCAGTTGCTTTGTGATGCATTAAAAAAAATGTGACGTGTAGCATGGATCAGTCCAGTGCAATGCCCAGGCTGCCATGCCCACGTCACACTTTTCCCTCTGAATGTAGTCTGAATGTTTTTTATTTATTTATTTTTTTTATTGTTTTTATCTGTTGTTGGACTGGTCAGGGGAAGAACTGGTATAAAAAATATGTAATGATAATAATAATAATAATAATAATAATAATAATAATAATAATAATATGCTTAATAATAATAAATAATAATAATAATAAAAAGGAAAAATAATATGATAAATAATACTAATAAATTGAATATATAACATTGAGAGAGACAGAAAAGGAGAACGAATAGAATGAAAGGGAAAGCAAAGAAGCATATAAAGACCGAATTATAATGTGGAAAGGTATTAATACAATTTACACTAAATAGTTTTTTTTTTCTCCAATTGATTTATTTATTTTAAATTAGATTTAATATATATATATATACTTTTTTTTTTCTCTAATACCTCTACCTGACCCCCTCTCCCCCCTCCCCTCTTGTTTATATACTGATGAAGGTGTTGTTAGGGAATGGCTTCAGGCAAAGAGGATCTTCAATGGAGATGTATTCTGTTCATAAGTTTTTCCAGTGTAAGATGTGAATTTTATTTCTTGATTTCCAGTTCATGAGGATAGTTTTTTTGGCGATAGTTAGAGCCACCAGCAGTAACTGACCATTTGTATTATTTATATTGATTGTGGATATGTCACCTAATATGCAGAGGGAGGGACACAGTGGGATGTGACAACCCATTAAGTTGGAGAGTGAGTCAGTAACCTTTTCCCAAAATGATTTAATTGGAGTGCAATACCATAAGGCGTGAAGATAAGTGTCTGGGGTGTTTTGTGTGCAATGCGAACATATTTCTGACGTGAAACCCATTTTAAATAATTTCTGCCCAGTTAAATGTGATCTGTGAAGCACTTTGTACTGTATAAGTTGTAAGTTAGCATTTTTAGTCATGGAAAATATTCTGATTATGAAAACAAAGATTTTCAGTGATCTGGAAGTTTTCCAGTGAAGTGGTGAGAGATGCTTCTAAATGCTGTAAGGCATACTTATTGGAGGTTATGAAGGATTTTTTTTAAAATAATTTTGCAAAGTAATGTTTAGAAACAATATAATGTTCTTTTTTTAACCAAAGTTGTGTCTGCAGAATCACACAATTAGTTTACTTAAAAACTATTATATTATATTATATTATATTATATTATATTATATTATATTATATTATATTATATTATATTATATTATATTATATTATATTATATTAATTACATTATATTATATTATATTATATTATATTAATTATATTATATTATATTATATCATATCATATTATATTATATTATATTATATTATACTATATTATATTATATTATATTATATTATATTATATTAATTACATTATATTATATTATATTATATTAAATATATTATATTATATTATATTATATTATATTATATTATATTATATTATATTATATTATATTATATTATATTATATTATATTATATTATATCATATTATATTATATTATATTATATTATATTATATTATATTATATTATATTAATTACATTATATTATATTATATTATATTAATTATATTATATTATATTATATCATATTATATTATATTATATTATATTATATTATATTATATTATATTATATTATATTATATTATATTATATTATATTATATTATATTGTATTATATTATATTATATTTCCTTTTCTTTTTGGCTTAGCACCTAATCTGGGGTCGCCACAGCAGAATGAACCGCCAATTTATCCAACATATGTTTTACGCAGCGAATGCCCTTCCAGCTGCAACCCAACACTGGGAAACAACCATACACACTCAATCTCACACACATACCCAACGGCTAGTTTTAGCTTACCCAATTCACCTACAGCACATGTCTTTCGACTTGAGGGGGAAACCAAAGCACCTGGAGGAAACCCACGCGAACACTGGGAAAATATGCAAACTCAACACAGAATTACCAACTGACCTAGCTGAGGCTCAAAACAGTGACCTGCTTGGTGTAAGGCGATCGTGCTACCCACTGCACCACCATGACGCCTGTATATTATATTATATTATATTATATTATATTATATTATATTATATTATATTATATTATATTATGTTATGTTATATTATATTATATTATATTATATTATATTATATTATATTATATTATATTATATTATATTATGTTATATTATATTATATTATATTATATTATATTATATTATATTATGTTATGTTATATTATATTATATTATATTATATTATATTACATTATATTACATTATATTATATATCATATCATATTTAAATTATATTAAATTTTACTCAGCAGGTTTGGTACCAATAAATTTAAGAAAATCTTATTTTTGTCACATTTTATTTGTATATTGCTTATTTTTGTGGTGCAGTAGGTAGTGCTGTCGCCTCACAGCAAGAAGGTCGCTGGTTCGAGCCTCGGCTCAGTTGGTGTTTCTGTGTGGAGTTTGCATGTTCTCCCTGCGTTCGCGTGGGTTTCCTCCGGGTGCTACGGTTTCCCCCACAGTCCAAAGACATGCGGTACAGGTGAATTGGGTAGGCTAAATTGTCCGTAGTGTATGAGTGTGTGTGTGGATATTTCCCAGAGATGGGTTGCGGCTAGAAGGGCATCCACTGCGTAAAAACTTGCTGGATAAGTTGGCGGTTCATTCCGCTGTGGCGACCCCGGATTAATAAAGGGACTAAGCCGACAAGAAAATGAATGAATGAATAAATATAGCTGAGTTGTCTTTACTTCTTTTCTGTCTTTGACTAAAAACATGGTCTCACATTATGAATGCTGTGTTAGCATTCATTCATTCATTCATTCATTTATTCATTCATTATTTCCTTTGGCTTATAGTTTCAATTTCAGAGGTGGCACAGTAGGAAAGAACCGACATGTTTAAGCATTATCTAAATAAATCTTACATACAATAAATTTTAAAAATAAATTCAAAGTAAATAGATAAATAAATTACAGGCTAAATAGATAAACCCTGTTGCTTGTTACTGTTATGCTCAAAAATTATTTTAAATGTACCTTTTAGGTTGTATAGTATCACTGATAGCTGTTTTTCTTGAATTCTCCTTCTAAGCAATTAGATTACTCAAAAGATAATGCCTAATTAGCTAGTTTCCACATGTACGAGGAAATACATGGGAAAAGTTGCGCTTGAAATCTTTCAGTCCTAGTTATCAGTGATGTCCTAAAATACATTAAAAACCAGTTAAAATTTCAATCCTCCAGATATCATGCTTCTGACTGGAAAACATCTTTATATAGTAGATTGGTTGTCCTCCGTATCAAAATACCTCCCATTATAATTCATCCAGTATTGCAGCATACTTTTATAAGAAGAAAAAAATCTTTAGCAGGAAGTAGGGACAGATTTCATGGGCAGCAGACAGGTGGCTCAGTCTGGGTTTAAATTAACTTGTCTTTCCTGCCTCATGTTTCTGAGTTTGTAATGGGCCTGAAATGGGTTCATTTGGCCTGCTGAGGGCTCAGGCAGTGAGGGTCCATTTAGTTGGCTCAGTTCTAACTGTGATTAAAAGCTTCCATTTATACATAAGTGGAGAATCAAGTGCAAATTAATCTTGTACACTCAGTATGGTAAAACGGTTATAGCTTATTCAAACACATACCACACATGTAAAATTGGAAAAAAAAACATGTCCAAACAGTTTTGATGATGCCTTGTAAGAACTTTGTTAGCATGTTGCTACAAAAACATTGTCACCTAATGCATTTCTGATTTTCCTCTTATCTTTGCAGCAACTGATGCGATCTTCAGTTTTCCACATGTTCATCCTCAGTATGGTGGCTGTTGATGTGATTGTAGCTGCGAGCAATTACCACAGAGGTGACCATAAACTCACCAATGATGAGTTCTACCTGGCTGAGGTAAGACAAGACAAATATGATCTTAAAAATGTTCTAGATCTTTGATGTTTTTTGTGTATCTTTTCTCTGTGTGCTGCAATTTCACTAGCACAGTGGAAAATCAATGATTGTTAATTATTATGGTAACACTTTAAAATAAAAGTCCATCAATAAATGTTAGTTAATGCATTTACATTTATTATAGTATTTAATCATCTTTGTTAACATTAGTTATTGTTATTTAAGTTAAAGAGCCCCTACTTTGTATTAAAAAGGTCATATTTTGGTTTTAGGGCTCTCCAACAACATGCTGATAGGCGTGTAAGGTGTAACACCAAAAACACTTTCATTGTCTTATAATATGCATTTATTTTTACCTAATTATCCCTGCGACTCTGATAAAAATCATTTAGCGATTTATTTGTTTCCAAACCCCTCCTTAGCGCAAAGCAAATCTGAGCAAATTGGACCGATGACCCAGTCTATTGCGATTGGTCGACTGCGTTCAGCACATGACAGAGAGAAACGCCCACCACGGCTACAGTATGAAGTAGCAGAAAGTATGTGAGAGTCCAATGCAGGAATGCACTAAAGCAATGCAGTTAAACACCAGCATATTTCTCTACTCTTAACCCTAATCCCAAGTAAGAACAACGACACACATTCAGTTGTAATCCATTCAGTGGCAATAGTTGAACTATTTCGAAAATTCGTAGTGCGTGTGAGGAACAGCTGATGGTGGCTGTTGCAAATGCAAACAGCAGAGAATAGCCAGTTCAGAAATGGATTTAAAATCGCTAAAAGAAGAAGCATGCATCACATTTTTAATGTAATTTTGGACGCAAAATGCGAATAGTCCTATACAGATTTACCTGAGAGATACAGTACAAGCACTGATCTATAATTGAAGCGTGATTACAAGCCACGTGGGGTGATTAAAACTTAAAACACACAATTAAACACATATTTTGCAAACTACACAAAACGAGGCAACAATTTTAATGACACTTACATGTATTGATCCGGAGGAAGAAGAAACTGGTCCATATGAACTGTAAAAGTTGCTGACAAAGTGCCTGTCAAAGTCTGACAAAGTCCCATAGTCTCTGCTGCTCCATTAAAAGCAAACAGCCGATGAATCCAACATTTCAGTGTACCTGTAGGTTATTGTATCAAAAACCTGAAAATGACAGGAACAAACACAGCACTAGGTTGGCAATATTGTGGTATTGTTGTGAAAATGAATTTTAACCCTTCAACTCTTCCCCGCAGCCGAATTTTTATCTGTCAGTGATTATCATCTTTACGTAATGATCAGTCCCGTGATCCAGTGTCTGAAGTGAAAGTGCGTTCACATTTTACCAGAACTGGAACTACATATTTGGCATGTACCGTATCGATGTCGATGCGATCAAACAAAAGATCCGAACCCAACTCCCTTCGTTTATTAAACTCTGAGTTAACTATTTTGCTAAATAATCAATAGTTTTAGACATGCTGCACTTTTAGATTTAAACCTCAGCTGGATTCCAGGATTGCTTCGAGCTGTGTTACACGGAAGGTCACGGTAGGTCATTTTCAAAAACCCATAATAGGGGCTCTTTAAATAACTTTAGTTGATGTTTACTCACAGTGGATTAAAGAATGTAAACAAGCACAACTTAGAATAATGCTTTAGTTATTGTTGAACTATGATTGGTAAATGCTGTAAGAGATTAGTTAATGCTAGTAAATAAAATAACTAATGGACCACTATTCTAAAGTGTTACCATTATTACATATTTTTAAGGATGTAATATAATCACTTCTGTACAGTTTCTCTTAAACTCATGGGGAAAAAATGTAGATAGAAGCAATTTTTTTATTATTCTTGGACACATATGAGCAATTCCATGCAAATGTCAACCTTGCCATGAAAAAAAAGCAAAACCCTTTCTTATTGTGCGTGTGTGTGGGGAGGGGCTTGTATTTTACATTACTTGTAAAAATGTCTCTGTCAGTGTATACAAACAGTTATATTTGATTTACCAATGTCACACAAGTGCCAATTTCACATTTGTCACATCCATAAATAAGGAATGTCACATCCATAATCAAGTTTTTTCCTCATAAATGTAAAAATTTAAAGTAGAATAAAATTAATACCTTTTGTTCTGTAGTGAGCCAACTCTTATCCCTCTAATTAGCATAATTTCTTTTGGGTTGTGCAATTTAATTTAAAGAACTAAATAAAGTGTTGTGTATTGTAAACTCGCATACTTTTGGTCACATCTATAATGCATGTTTATTTTCATCATTTAAAATATTTAAAAAAAGTTTACAGGTTGATATTTTTCTGATCCTATTACTTAGTGGTTATTTGTTTTGGAAAAGATAAACAGAAGTAGGCAATGCAGTGGCACAGTAGGTAGTGCTGTCGCCTCACAGCAAGTTTGTTCTCCCTAAGTTCGCGTGGGTTTCCTCCGGGTGCTCCGGTTTCCCCCACAGTCCAAAGACATGCGGTACAGGTGAATTGGGAAGGCTGAATTGTCCGTAGTGTATGAGTGTGTAAATGAGTGTGTGTGGATGTTTCCCAGAAATGGGTTGCAGCTGGAAGAGCATCCGGTGTGTAAAAATGTGCTGGATAAGTTGGTGGTTCATTCCACTGTGGCGACACGGATTAATACAGGGACTAAGCCGACAAGAAAATGAATGAATGAATGAATGAATGAATGAATGAATGAATGAATGAACAGATGTTTCAATGTAATCTTAACATATACTTTTGATGTAAATTTATGTTTCAAGTTTTTACTGCAAATATCACATCCATAATGCTGGAATTGCTCATATGTGACAACCTACATATCATTTGTAGCAAAATACCTCATTCATCTGCTGGTGCAAACCTGAATATAGTTCAAACAAATCTATATTTTGAAAAGCTGATTTAAAAAATCCATGTTATGCTATTTTTATTTTAAGTTTCCTGATTTAGGTTTACAATAGGTTTAGACACAGTAACACATTTGCAGTTTTTTTTTTTACCTTTATGTATTTAACATGGTGTGAATTAAATTAAATTGTAATCTATTATAATTTAGTATTTTGTATTTATCTGGGACGCAGTCAGGCATATCTGATGCCTGAAATGGGTGCCCCAGATGTTACTAGTCATGCCCTGATCGTTTTTCATGCTACGTGTTACGAGTGCTGCACAATTTGAATCCCACTGTGAAAGTCTTCACGTCTTTCACAGATTTTCATTGGAGTGTCAAGATGCTACTCGATAATGAACTTCTCTGGGATGGACTCTCTGCTCTTTCTCTCTCTTGACGATGTTTATTTTACCACTTTACACATTGAGTTTTGAGATGGCCAGAAGAATCCTCATATTGTTATTGCACTCAAAGGCATCAGCGTCATCAGATTTTATGCTGAAATCTCATATAAACGTATCGTCATCACTTTTTTTCACCTTAAAAATCCAGAGATTAAATCAGCTGAGTGACAACGTGGGTGCAAACAGCTTGTGGGCAACACTCCATTTTAGCGAGAACCGTGTGGGTATGTGTGTGTGTCCTGTTTGCCACGCACTGCCTCTGCAATCAGTATGCAGGTGGCACTGTGGGAACAAAGACAGATAGAGGAGTGTGGCCACCCGCCCACTCCAAGCTGAAAGACCGAGATAAGGAGGAAGAGGCACCCCACATATTCACAGGCCGATCCATCTCATCATTAATCCATACAAGTGCTTTATTTGGATCAAACCAAATCGGGAAAACCGGGGAAATACTAGCTTTGTTTACCATCTTGTGTTGACATTCCTCTGCCTTAACGCATCTCACTCTGATTGCATTTTAGTTTTCATTGAGCGACGTGCGTGTTATATACTGTATTTTACAAGTGAGTTTTTCAGCTCTTTGTTTGATTGCGCAAGTGTTCGCATACGTGTTCCCTTTGCAAAAGCCAAGGGCTCTAGGGACACTTAAAAAGCAATTACTAAGAAATGAGCACACAAGGAATAGCTCTCCATAATCATACTCCCTGCCTCTCATTGTCTCTTTTTGCCATTTTCAGGTCGCCTTCACTGTGCTGTTTGATTTGGAGGCTCTGCTGAAAATCTGGTGTTTGGGCTTCACTGGATACATCAGTTCATCGCTGCACAAGTTTGAGTCGCTGCTTGTAGTGGGCACCACCTTGCACATCTACCCTGACCTTTACCACTCGCAGTTCACCTACTTTCAGGTTAGAGAGAGTTACATACAGTATACAGTACATATTGCTGAATACAGTCCATATGAACTGTGGTGTGGCACTGAAATTAATTTATATATGTAAATGAAACTTATTAGAACTTGATTTGTTTCAGCATCAGTGCTGAAATTCACCAATACTTTGGCGGGCAGAAGTGCCCCGTTATGTTGTTTTAAAAGTTGCTTATTTTGTTTAGAAGGTTTCCTAAAATGAGAATTAATTTTTTAAATGTTTAAAATGCGTTTTAAATTTCAAAAACTAAATTTTAGGCCTCAAAAAGTCTTACATTTGCTGAAATACAGTCTTGGGGTGTTTTCTCTTTTGCCCAGTTAGCACGGTTCGTTTGTATGTGAATCTCACAATCACTCTCGGACCACGCCAAATCAATCAGTCTGAGATCAACTGAATGAGGTGGTCTCGGGTCAATTAAAACGAACTCTGGAGTGGATAGATTGTAGTGAGAAAGCAAAACGAGTCAGCGATCCAGGCAATATCACATTGTACTATAGTTTCGTAATAGCTATGTTACTATATTAGCCTGTACGGCTATATGCAGAGAGACGAATGAGTAAAGCGGGATGTCATTTCTACCGATAAATGTGCGTTTTATGTCGAATATTTCAGAGTAAAATATTACAGAGTACATTACAGAGTGAAATAATAAGGAGTGTTGTTTATCCGAAATTACCATCTGATAATATTTCCATATTTAAATTTTATAATATTTTATAAGGCCTATTGTTTTGTTTATTTCTGTGCTGACACCTTGAAAGAAATATCAACATTTATCTGCTTCATGGTCACATATTTAAAAAATATGGCTAAGAAATAGCTGTTAACTTCTTTTATACTGGTGGGGCCAGGGGAAAATTTTGGCAGGGCAAGTAAAAATCTGAACCACTGGAAGAACGCCATAAAAACGTCCATAGCGTTGAACCCTGTATGTTATTACAATACTTATTTCATGTGTTTGTATATGGAAAAAACTAAAACAATATACAGTGAAAAATAGTGAACAGCTACGTTTTTCTTCCTCGTTACCTCAGCATCTAGAACTTTGTATTGGATTGTTTTTTGTTTTTAGCATTAAAGCATTTTTTAGCATAGTAAAGCTCAGAAGTGTCTTCTTTACAGTGATACCTAATTTGTGTTTTGCTTGTTTTTCTCAATGGGGTCAGGAACTGTTGCTATTTTAAGTTAGGTGTAAATCCCCATAAGTGGGGTGCTGGTTAACAGGTGAAAGAGTTTTAAACAGTTAATTAGAGTCTTGTTATTACTTCACCTGTCATTTCCAAGAACCTTTTGTGATTGGTTACCACTTACAGTGTGTGTCAGAACCATAACAACCATTGCTATATTTAAAAATTCAGACCTACACACCTTTTACTGTACCACTTTATCATATTAACATATCATTATCAGTCTGAGAAGTAAAAAAAATACAACTAGTCTCTGATTGTCATGATAAATTATGCGAAGCTAAGTTTAGTTTTATTTTTAGTGAGACCATGCCACATGCAACCACAGCATTCTAAAGGGCTCCCTGCATGAGAGCAGCACCTGCTAGATTCTGAGATGCTAATCATGCACTAATGCAGGGTAATAACACATACTGGTGGCCGTGGCGGAGCTGTTTTCTTATATCTCCTGGCAGCTGCCAGGAATGGGAATGGATGAAGCACGTTCACGTTGACAAGCCTCATTAAGGACACAACCTGCGCTCTCCCTCCAGTTTTTTCGCGGCAGGAGAGGCGGAGTTCCAACTGTGAATATTCATATCCTCCCTTCATGACTGGGCTCATTATAAAGCTGCCATGAAATAGACCATGAGCAGTCACCATGTTAAATTTGATTTGTAAATAGCATTCTATATTTTTCATAATTAGTTTTATGAGTCATTGTCACAAATAGCAATTTATAGCTTCAAACTCATTCCAAAACTTTTGAACATAATTTCTGTAATAATTTTGCAATTTACATTTTCTACGACAATTGACAGCACTATATAGAATATGCAATGTTTTTAGACTAATATATGGTTTGTAAAAGCACAGTTTAGCAGCGATTTGTTTAACAAGTTGAGGTCATAAGTTTACATATACCATGCAGAATCTGCAAAACTGTTAATAAGTTAATGAGTAGTTTTAAAGACTGTTCTAGCATATTGCTGTCATGTATTTAGGGCTTTACTGTAAAGGTCAATCTATGACTTTGCATTCCAGTTTGCCATATGCAATAGGTCTTACACTTAGATTTTTGGAGAGCCTAATTAGTGCCTCATTTCCATTGCTTCTCAAACTGCACAGTAAGAAATGACATTACACAAAGCGTTCCCAAGAAAAGTTCATTGCCTTCAAAGAGAGAATATTCATTTATGTTTCTACATTTGTCACACGCATTTAACTAAAGCAGTTTGACTTAGCATTTAAATGAAATTCTATAGCAGGGATGTCCAAACTCAGTTTTTGGAGGGCCACAGCCCTGCACAATTTAGTTCAAACCCTGCCTCATTATACTTACCTGGAGGTTTAAAACAAGCCTGAAGCAATCAATTAGTTTGATCAGGTGTTTTTAATTACTGTAGGGTTAAACCTAATGCCGAGTTCAGACTGCATGATTTAGCCCCGATTTGCTCTCACCAACAGGTTTTGAGAAATCGCAGACAATTGCCTAAAATCTCAAGTAAATCGGTGCGTGTTCACACAAGTAACAATCACACAGTGTGAACTATCAAAGATGTGATCTGAGAAAATCGCAGATGAGTCGCCCACACCCGTGAGATATTTGGCATGCTAAATATCTGGAGCTGTCAACGATTCAAATCATGCTGTGTCAAATGTGTTTTGACTGAAAATAACATTGGCGATAACCTACAGCCAATGAGAGGGAAGCATTGACTAATATGGCTATTTGCATGTGTAACGGTTAGTACTCGGTTTCCTCTGCATTGTGTGTAGTAGAGATGAGATTTGACACCCAATCACACCTCAAACAGATAACTTTATTCTGGCAAACACAATGAAAACACAGTGATCAGTCCCAGACAGTCCAACATGTCGTCCTGCAATGACGGGTGAACACACACGACCACTCTCTTACAGTAGCTGGAGCGAATAATAATTAAAGTAAACACAAAACATGAGTTCAGAAAAACAGTAAATATTGAATAATGTACCTGGCAAACACAATGAAAACACAGTGATCAGTCCCAGACAGTCCAATATGTCGTCCTGCAATGACAGGTGCACACACTAGTAATTATAAAGTTGTAATCACAAAAAAAGATACATTGTGGATAATTAAAACAAAAAGATCAACAAAAATATACACTTTACAGGAGCATTCACTCACCACGACCACTCTCTTAGCTGACGCGAATGATAATGACCCGTCTGGAACCAGTTAACAACATGCCACCAGCCAATGAACAGAGAGGAGGGTCAGTTAGAATTAAAGGGCCATGTACATAAAAGAAAAGCAAGTGGAAGCACTTTTATAACCTGTTACACATGCCAAGGAGGCTGTGAGAAAAGTTAAAAGCGCTCATTTTCAGTTTATTTGGACACAAGAAATAGAGGAAAAACTAGTGGAGATTTGGCAGGAGCACCCCTGTCTGTTTGACTTGTCATGTGAGAAATATCACAACTGGGTCAAAAAAGAAAAGAGTTGAGGAGAAATTGCTAATTACCTTCAAACCCTGATGAGCAAAAAAGAACATTTACTACCCCACTAAAGTCTTCTTTCTCATTATGTAGTTAATAACAAAAGACATACTACGTGTTTTTAGTTGTGAGAAATAGTTGTCGGCGATTCTTTCTATTGTAAAGTCATGCAATGTTAAACCCCCTGTCGCCGATCTAATCTGCAGTGTAAACAAAGCAGTTACAAAACGCTAGCCCAGATAGTCATGCAGTGTGAAAAAACATCTGTGACACAATTACTTTGAAAATTATGCAGTCTGAACTCGGCATAAACTGTGCAGAGCTGTGGCCCTTCAGGAACTGAGTTTGACACCTTTGCTCTATAGCATATTTCTGTTTCCATTTATCAGTTTAGTTACGTTCACACTGCAGCCAAATGTGGTCTAATCTGATTATTTTGCCCACATGTGACTCAGGTAATGATAGTGTGAACAGCCCAAACCGCATGGAATCTGATCTTTTCAGGTCATATCTGTGCCACTTTCATTTTTAGTCTTAAACCAGACACAGATTTGATGTTTGGTTGTTCATTTTGAAAAAGATTTTGGAGGCAAAACTGGTGTTTGTTAACGATTGGGGCACAGGTTGATCACGAAGCTGAAGAGTGTCGTGCATTTTGCGGAGAGGGGATCCGTGTGCAAAGGAGGGAGAACTTTCTCCGAGAGAAAAAAAGGGCTGGTGCTCGAGCACCCAAACCCCCCTTCTGTACATGTCTGCTGTTTATAACGAAGTAAAATTAAATAACTCTGCAAAAGGAGATAAAACAACTCTGCCTTCACAGTTGTTTGCGGCTGCTCATTAACCCTTGATGAGTTCACTACACCAGCGATCAAATAAACACGCACCGCTGTTGTCATAAATCACAAATGATCAGTGTTTTCAATCACAAGTGACTTATTTTAGATTTCAAATGCCGAAATAGTTAGTAGCAGCAGAACAATCCTCTACAGTTTATGAAGCTCACCACGGTTGTCTGTGAAATGGGCAATAATCATATAAGCATGGTCTGACAACATGCTTACTTCATACAGTATCACCTGTGCATAATTAGACATTTTGTGCTGTCCGTATCTGTACTTCTGCGCATGCGGGTCAGTTTAGGACCATGATCTGTTCACACTGCAAATCTGATATTTGCCACATTTATAACAGCAGTGTGAACAGCCATGCAAAAAAAATCAGATCTGAGGAAAAAACCTGATTTGAGCACTAAGCCTGGCAGTGTGAACGTAGCCTTTATTAATTTCATGGGAATCAAACCCATGACCATGTATTTACTAGCTTTACCAGTGTGTTTTAACTTCTTAACTTGTTAACTTGTTCTTAACTTAAACAAAACTATAAACACAAGTTGCTTAAGTTTCAAACAATAAATAAGCACATTTGTTGTTGTGACAATTTCCAGAGGATTGCTGGATAATTCTTCTAGGTTTAAAAGTGGCAGCAGCAGGAGGACCTTTAGGCCACATTCAGCTGGAAGCAAATGGATCGATATCCATTCTCTGTTCTTGATCAAAACCTAACCTAGATGCATCATTGATCAATTTTGTTGTCACCTAGAGTAATTTAGTAACTGCTTGAGCAACAAAGCAATTTGTAACCAAGTTACTCTGAGAAGAACCCAATATCAGTGTTTGCTCATTAAAAATCAATAAAACAAACACCAATTACACTCCATAGCTCTTCTTTTTGTGATGATTTTCATACTAACAGTAATGCCAGACCCATTTAATGAGAATCTTTAATTGGCTGATGCTTTGATAAGTTGATTTTCCATTCTAATATGTAGCAAATATGTTTGTTTTTAAATACAAATGAAAAATACCGTTCTGTTCTACCTGCAGGTTTTGCGAGTGGTCCGTCTAATAAAAATCTCCCCTGCACTAGAGGACTTTGTGTACAAGATCTTTGGTCCAGGGAAGAAACTGGGCAGTCTAGTGGTGTTTACTGCCAGTCTGCTCATAGTGATGTCTGCCATCAGTCTGCAGATGTTCTGCTTTGTGGAGGATTTGGATCGTTTCACCACATTTCCACGGGTAAGTCTCCCTATGTTTTGGAAACATAAGTCATGTTTCCATCCACCTATTTATATGCGCATTTTGGAGTATTGCATTAAAAAATGCTGCACCAAATGCCAAGATGCACATAAATTTGAACACTGAGCACAGGATAAGCTTTTATCTGATAAGAAAAAATGGCTTATACTACAATGAAAACACATTTACTGAATAAATCTCAGCATGCACATAAAAAATTGCTGAAAATTAACTGAACAAGTTACTAACAAAACATGGTAAAATCAATAGCAAAAAAATATGTAAATAGAATGTGAGATTTGTGAAATTTTCTTTTTTTTTTTTTGTATTTTTATAGTATCATCTTAAAGTATTTTATTAACATTTTATTTTAAGGTGTTCCTATTACACATGCAACCAATCCTAAACCCAACCAGCAATCTAACCTTAACCAGTGAATAGAAATTGCATGTAATTAATGAATTAATGTTGATCAGTAGTAAAGAAATAATAGTTAAAATAAAGTACAAACAGTATTTTTTTTCTTGTCTTGAAGTACTCAGATTCCAGTGTGGCCCGAAATATCTCTAAATCTATTATAATACCTAATTTGTCAGTAGATGTAAGACTTCCAAGTTTTTTTTTTTGATACTATGTGCTCATGAGAGGGGTTCTCATTAGCGGTGTCTTTTTATCCTCCGTTATTAGTGGGACTCCACTGATCCCAATGCGTGCTGGGATTTGGAGGGGCTCATATAAACAGATGCCGCTCATTTCCAAGGCGGGTGGCATGATAACCATTGAAGATAATGATGTTTACCCAGCTCCCTTGTCAATAGACCTGTTGCAAAATTATCTTCATCTGCAGTCACTCAGAGACAGTGTGACTGTGACCAGGCTTGGGACCAGCTGAGTTTAGACCTTCATTTGACTTCCATTGGAATAAAAGGCCATGAATAGGCGATCTCATATCTCTGTAGGACGATGAGACCTGAGGCACATTGAATTTGTTTGTATTATTTATTTATTTTTGTGAAATTAATAATGTGCTCTGCCTTCTCTCATTTTGGCCACAGCATTGTCAGTCAAATAACCTTGCGTAGGCAAGGGAATTTACTGTATTTATAAACACCACAAACCTAAACTTATTACTTTGCTTTGTTAGTAACATTTTCATTTTGTGTGGGTGACTGGAGAAACAGGGAAATGATATGTATTTTTTTTTTTCAATCTTATGAAAGCACACATCTGCCATGCAGTAAAGATTGCAAGACTTGTGTTCAACCAGAAATATTTTTTTCCATCCTCATATTGTGCCAATAAACTGAGACTGTCAATCTCTGGGGGGGAAAAAAACTAGCATAAAAGTACAAAATGTAGCTTTAACCATATTTGTTAGGTGTTGCTATAGTCAATTATTGTTTTGAAAAACAAAGAACATTGACTGATAATGTTTTTGTTTCTTTCTTGAAGGCGTTTATGTCCATGTTCCAGATTCTCACGCAGGAGGGCTGGGTGGATGTCATGGACCAAACACTGGTGGCTGTGGGACAGATGTGGGCTCCGGTGGTGGCCATATACTTTATTCTGTATCACCTTTTTGCCACACTGGTAAATATCATTTGTTGTGCAGAGAGAAGATTTAAATTATTATATTGTATTGCTTTATTATATTTAAACTAAAATGTATGTGATACTTTACCAATTTATTAGGATTTAAACCATAGGCAAAACAGCCGTATAACAGTGATATGCATGCCTGTTGCATCAGTCGGTACTAAAGGTAATTTTATGCTAAATAAAATATGTAAAAAAAATTATGTTTAATAAAAAAACTTAAATTCAAAATAATTTAAATTAAAACATTACATGGGGCGAAGCAGTGGCGCAGTAGGCAGTGCTGTGGCCTCACAGCAAGAAGGTCGCTGGTTCGAGCCTCGGCTCAGTTGGCGTTTCTGTGTGGAGTTTGCATGTTCTCCCTGCGTTCGCGTGGGTTTCCTCTGGGTGCTCCGGTTTCCACCACAGTCCAAAGACATGTGTTTGTAAAACACAAAACAATATATTCTGAAGAATGTTGGGAAAATGGAGCATTTGATATCCATAGTATCCCCCCCCCTTCACACACACACACACACATTCTTCTGTATATCTTATTTTATGTTCAACAGAAGTAATATATTCCAAGATGTTTGGTACAAATGAAGGATGAGTAAATGATGACATTTTTTATAGAAAGTGATATTTCACCTATAAATGAATATTTGCTGATACTTTAGTTTGCTGTTAACTCATCCTCAATGGTAACCATTATTACAGTCTTATGCAAAAGTTTGGCCACCCCTGATAACTTTCATAATTGCAAGCCATAGCCTGCTATGAGCCTGCTTTCAAATCAGTAAATTCGTTTGGATATATTTTATACTCTAGGGATAAAGCAACATTTCAGTTAAATCAGATTAAGTGAAATGTTTACTGAATAAATCTAATTAATTCAGATGCAATGCAATTGAGGTCTTAAAAAAAAATTTGCAAAAATTTGGGCACCCCAACAGAATAACAGAATGACATCAATCATTTGTTTAGCCACCTTTTGTTGAAATAACGGACTGTAGACACCTAATATGGTCAAGGATAAGTCCCTGAATTCTTAATAAAAGCAGTTTGGGCCATTCTTCCTCGTTTAAGTCTGGGATGGCCATTCTAGAACATTGTATCGTGTCTGAGCATGAATTCCTTGGTAGATCTGGAACTGAACTGTGGTACAGAAAGGCTTCTTCTGCATCACCTTCCATTGAGCTGTTCTTTGTGAAGAGTGTGCTGGACTGTGGAATGATGTACAACGACATTATCAGCAGCAAGATGTTCCTGAAGCTCTTTGGAGGTGGTCTGCGGTTTGTCTGTCACCATTTTAACCATTCTTCGCCTTTGCCTTTCTTTTTCTTTTTTTTTTTTGTCTAGCACATCTTTCCCTCATAAGATCTGTTCCTAAGTTCTTCAATTTTCTTACTATATTTTAGACTGTGTAAATAGAGACTTTAAAGCTTTGTGACAGCTTTTTGCATCCTTCTCCTAATCCATGTTGGTGAATTATCTAGTTTTAGGTGGAAAGTTTTTTTTAAGGTTTCCATGTTACTACTTTCTGGTTTCACAATAAGGAGAAGCAACTAGCAATCAGCTTTCTTAAATATCCTTTTTCATGATTGGTTTCACCTGTGTTTGGATTGTCATAGTTCACTCATGTGAAGAGTCACTCAAATCAATTTTGTTTTGTAATCAATCAGCATTAAGTGACTACAGGTTTTGAAATCCACACAAAAGAGAGGGTGCCCATAGCTTTGCATAGCTTATTTTTCAGATTCAATTTCACACATCTCAATACTGCTACACCATGTATTTCTGTCTGAAAAACATATATTATTATTATTATCATTAACATTATCTAGCTTTTTCTAGAAACCGAATGGCATTTCACTGTGATGTTTTCTTACAAAGAAAGAGCCCACTATTTTGCAGCCACAGTGGAGTGCCCAAATTTTTGCATAAGGCTATATGGAAGTCCAAAGCTGAAAATTCTGTCATCATTTAATAACCTTGCGCTTGTCACAAACCTGCTTAAGTTTCTTTCTTCTGTTAAACACAACATAAGTTATTTTGAAAAAATGTTGTAAATTTGTAACCATTTTCTTTCATAGTATTTGATTTTTTCTACTATGGGAGTCTACGGTTACAGGTTACAGTTACAGGTTTCTAAAGGTTTCTCTCTAAACTTTACAGAATTTTATGGAAAATTTTATTGAATGACTTGAAGATGAATACTTAATCAGTACATTTTCATTTTTGGGTGAACTTTCCCTTTAATGGCCACTGTCATTTCATATTTTAAAACTTCAACGGAAGTTTTTGTATTTATTTTCTTTTTTGTTTACACAATAGCTGTCAGTTTACATTGGGACATGTCTGAAACCTATTCCACCTCACCGCTTTTGCCATTGATATCCATTATGGCATTCTATAGGACCCTAATGCCATGTGTTGCACATGCTCTATGTGTTCCCTATTTCAGGGACAGAGTAGCGAGGCAATAGCATTGAAAATGAAGACAGCTTGCATTTGTGCCGCTGGGAGCAAACCAGACTGTCAGAAAATGAATCATCTTTCATCCTCTCTTCCTTCTCTTGATCTTTTGGCATACCTAACCATCAAGAGAACATATTTAGAGATCCTGAATAATAGTCAGAGCAGTTTTTCAATTTCTAATGGCCAGTTTTGTATGGTTTGAAGACATGCAACATTCTAGCTGATCTCTAAGGTACTTTTAGAGGATCAGTCTGTGTCTAGGACTTTAAGAAATACAGTGGTACTGCCTGCTATGTTTTTATCAGGCAGTAATTATAAGACTTCCGTGAGGAAATCCTGGTTTGTTTTGTGACTCTCAGGCTGCCTGTAGCCTGAACAGCTCACTGTTATTCTGGTAGGGTATACAGTGGACATGGATAAATTCCTCTAGTGGTATCTAGACATCAATAGGAAGAAAAGCAACAACCCTTGGTTAAAAAATATGGCAGTAAAGTCCCTCTAGAAACATCTTTACACATATGTATTTTCCAGTTGTCACACCTGACATGGCATACTCCCTTCCCCCATATTTTTATCTTTAAAAAACACGCCTTTGGGGCATTTCACAGCCACATCACGGCTCCTGTCACTCTCCATTACAGATATCACAAGAAAGCATTTAGCCATTGGTGTCTGCTTTTCTTTTTACACTTCGTATTTGAACAAAATATTGAAGCAGTTTATTGACATGATAAGCTCCACAATTCATTGCACATCTGTGCATGAAGATAATGAAATATTTTCCCATAAAGTACTTGGCTATAGATCCATGGAGAACAAAAATGTACTGGATGTACTTGCGCTACGGTCATAATGATTTTTTCTTCTTCTTTTGTTTGACTTTTGACAAGTTTGAGTGAGTGAGGAGCAGCCGTTTAAATTTGACATTTGAATGAGAGCGCACACTAATGACAGAACAGACTGAGCATGTAATCAAGACACGGCTGAATCATTTATTCATTTCCTGTCATGGAAAAAAAGAAAATATGATGAAGAGAAAAGACGCAATGCATTTGAGGATAAATGGAGACCATTTTCAAAGAACTGATGTCATCTAAAACAGCTCTGAATCCTTGATCGATCTTAACACACACACACACACAAACACACACATACACTCTCTCTCTCGCTCTCTCTCTCTCTCTCTCTCTCCCTCTCTCTCTCTCTCTACAGAAAGCCTTTATATATATATAATAATTCTTGTATTAAAATGTATTTGGATATGTATTTGTAATACAATCTTGTCCTTTAATACAAGCAGTCAGATATGTGGATTGTTCCTTTAATTTCACCTCTTCAAAGTAAATACTTTGTAAATGCATCAAACAAAACTCAAGTACATGCCCAGAACAACATGAGCATTTAAAGCAAATAAACAAACGTAAATATTATCCTGCCTGCTTTTTGAGTGTTGTTGGGGGAGTTGGTAAACACGTATGATTGGTCACGCAGAAAGGGCTGCGATTGGCTCTAATGCGCTAGTGCTGTTCACCAATAAGTGATACTGATAAAGGGATGTGGCTATCACAGTTAATTCATTATAGATGCGGTGGAGAAAACTTGTTCTGCAGACACGCTTGTGTCTGGATCCACAAGTATCGTTATACCAGCTGAGAGGAGAGGAAACATCACGCCAGCAGGTCAATGAGGCCACAGTGAGAGAGAAAAAGAGAGAGAGATAGAGAGATGGACTTTACTTTCATTTTCTCCATAGCAGTGAAATAGGGGTTTCTGCTGTAATTTTAATGTCAGTGAAAGACTGTCCAGCAACCACTCGCAGTGAATTGTGCAGAGTTTCTGCGTTTTAAATACCCGTGTTGCTTCCCTTGCCATAGTATTCTACCAGGACATATCGCATATGAGATAAATGACATCAGTACATAATAACCATTTAGAATCTATTACTGAATCAATACTAAATTGTCTGCATCTGCAATGCGGTGCACTGAAGAAACAATATATATATATATATATATATGTGTGTGTGTGTGTGTGTGTGTGTGTGTGTGTGTGTGTGTGTGTGTGTGTGTGTGTGTGTGTGTGTGTGTGTGTATATATATATATATATATATATATATATATATATATATATATATATATATATATATATATATATATATATATATATACATATTTATATATATTTATATATATATATATATCATATTAAAGCCACTTCACTATGATTTTCTTTTGAAATGTTGAGTTAAGGAGTGACTGTTAAAAGAAATTTCTTCAAATTGTTTATCTGCTTTGTCCTGACAACAATCTGAATGCATATAAAGTAGATTTTGTCAAACTGTATTGAATAAAAATGGAATCTGTTTTGTTTTCTAGATCCTTCTGAGTCTTTTTGTTGCTGTTATTTTGGACAATCTTGAGTTGGATGAAGACCTGAAAAAGTTAAAACAGGTAAGTCATTATTCTTTTTATTTTGCTGATATACTACTCTGCAGATGTTTGGGGTTGTAAGCATTCTGTATGCCTCTAAAAGAATTATTTTATGGTCAACAACAGTAAAACCACTAGTTTATGTGAATATTATGGGTGCATCAATCATTTGTCTAATGATAACTAATAATTGCTTCTGGAACAGTGATTGATTTGCTGTGCTTATAAAGTTTTGCTGATGACACAAAAAGATGTGCACCTCTTGTCAATGTTTCTTTACATTGGTTTATTTTAAAAATTTACAAATGTATTCCTGTAATGGTAAAGCCGAAGATAGCAAAGCCAGGAAGATACCAAATGCAGGAAAACAGGCAAGAACTAAAACACAGGTATATTCTACAATGCGTAACTCCATTAGTGGACAACACCAGGAGAAGAAACAAAATACACACTAGAGAACAATGAACTAATCAACAGATAATGGCCAACAGACAGGAATTGTTTAAAAAGTCCATGACATGGGATATGCAACAACAATATTTTATAATAGAAAATAAATGCATCCTTGCAGAGTAAAAAAAATATATAATGAAATGAAAAGCTAATTGGAGCATCTCTTTGAATAATGCTACATGATTTACAGAATAAATGAAGGTTTTAAATAGACGCCATGATCTGTGATCTGCCCCTAAAATTCTGCATCACTATTATTGGCCATTTTTAAATAGCACTGTCTGCATTTCTGTTGTATTTTGTAGCAGTGTGAAATTCTAAACATTTCAACCTGTCCTCTTAGTTTCCTAAGGGAATGACTACATAACAAGACAATTAGCAGAGCTGAATTGAAACAACTTGTTTAAATCCCTCTATTCGCTGTCAAACCTACTCTAACTAAAAACTAAATGCTTTGACAATCTACTCTCTAGAGCAGCTGAACCACGAAATCACAATACATGCAAAAAAACAAGCATGATTGTAGCCTTTAAAAACTCCACACACCTTTCCCTGTATTTGATGAAAATCAGCAAATAGGGTGAGTGTACGTGTTAATTAGTACACTTTTCCATATTGCTCTCTGTCTATTTTTACTCCTTTATTGAGCTGTGATGCACAGGTAATGGTGACTCATAGGATAATTAGCGTGAGAAAGTGTGACCCGTTTGGCAAACACTTCTTGTTCATAGGATGCAAATGAACTTCTGCTGTGGCCAAATATCATAGGAAATGGCTTTTGAAAGCAATTAGAGGTCGGATGTCTCTGTGGATAACAGCATGTCACCTCAAGCACATCAGCCACATATTTCAGCAACTGTTGAAAAAGGAAAGACAGAGAAGCCTAAAGAAACCACAATTTGCATGATTACTTTTGCAAATTTGTCATAACAATCAGCGGCGCTGCGAGATATGCTAGGACAAATTGTAAACGTAATAGTGTAAATTAAAAGGGAAGGCCACTGGCTTCCTGCAAATTTTCTTTTTCTCACTCCTGAGTAAATGACATGAGCTGTGCGCTCCTTCAGTCCAGCAGACTGTCAAGCTTCAGGATTCTTCACATGCCCAGATCGGTTATCCCTCAGACACAGCTGACTGATCCACGGCTCCACCTGTAAAATTGCCTATTTTATAGGTGCTTCAAGCACAGATGGGGGCAGTCCAAAAATAGAGCACTAGATTGTGATTGCTCTCCAAGAATACAGGTGGCTTTTATAAAGCACAATTCGATGGCTGACCTTAATTGCAGCAAAAACCAGTTCTAACTGATGTGGAACAAATAACAACTGGATATGTTTTTTTGTCCTTTCCCTCGCAATGGCTTTATGACAGCTCTCCTATTTTTTTTCTTTTTCTTTTGGCTTTTTTGTTCCCTCAAAACCTTTGTCACCTTGTAATAAATTCATCAGTAACTGTCTCCTAAAATGTTTGCTAGATTGAAGGACTTCTCAAAATGGCACGGCACATTAATCAAGACACTATATTTAAGCTTCAAACTTTCACGCTCTCTGAAATGACAGCTTTTATTTATTATAAATCTTGACAGGAAATTGTTTGTCTGGTTGATTAGGCTTAGCTTTGTGTGGTTTTTAGCACATCCTTTTTCAAACTAAAAATAGACACATTCTGCAACCATTTTTACTCTACCGTGAACAATAAACAATTCATTCAAACAATTAACCCAGGGTTATGATGAGTTATTGTGTGGTTTGCGTCATTCTGTTTAAAGCTTTATCTTTATAATAGCTCTAGCAGGGTCCTAAATTTACACAAGCAGTTATTATAAATTTTTTTATGACATACCGCATGAGTCAGATCAACAAGATTTAAATGCTGAATTAAAAGAACAGTGACTGTTGCACAATATTTTTAGCAGCCATGTTAATATGCACAATAAAAAAATATAATATTCAACAAAACCTTTTACCTTATGTACCTAAATTATTATTATTATTATTATTATTATTTACAAAAATTATTATTTAAATTATTTTTAAAAAAATTATTAATTATTTATGCATATAGATTACTCTTGAAACGTTTTAATGCTTTTATTTAGTAAGCATACATTAAACAGTTTACACTGTTAATAAAAGTTTTATAAAATTGACCTCTAACATTAATATTATTAGGGCGACACGGTGGCTCAGTGGTTAGCACTGTTGCCTCACATCAAAAAGTCAGTGGTTCAAGCCCCTGTTGGGTCAGTTGGCATTTCTGTGTGGAGTTTGCATGTTCTCCCTGTGTTGGCGTGGGTTTCCTCCAGGTGCTCCGGTTTCCCCCAAAGTCCAAAGACATGTGTGATAGGTGAATTGAATAAACTAAATACTACTGTATTTGTGTGAATTAATGTGTATGGATGTTTCACTGTACTGAGTTGTAGCTGATAATGATAATAATAATAATAATAATAATAATAATAATAATAATAATAATAATAATAATAATAATAATAATAATAATAATAATAAATATAATAATAATAATAATAATTATAATAATAGAGTTTATTTCTAATGCACTTTTCTTAGACTCAAAGTGCTACAAGGCAAAATACTAACAATAGCAGAAACAGCACAACAATAAAAAAAGATACAAAACAATAAAAAAATGAACCATAAGATAGAATAAAAAATTAATAACAAAAATAACTAAGTTAAAAATCAATGCTAAAAAGATGAGTCTTAAAATGTTTCTTAAAACAGTCTAGAGAAGCAGAATTCCTATTGCTGATGGGAATTGCATTCCCCAGCTTAGGTACACTGTATGAGAAAGCCCTACCTCCCATGGTCTTGAGTTTACAGCATGGCTAATACAGGGTAAGTCCTGATGCCAGGTAGGGCATGCACTGTGTAAAATATATGCTGGATAAGTTGGCGGTTCATTCGGCTGTGGTGACCCCTGATGAATAAAGGGACTATGCCGAAGAAAACTGAAGGAATAAATATTTAGTAAACTAAAACTGTATGAGGTTTAATGTTTATTGAGTCATTTATTTATTCAGTCCTGAACACAAACAGAGATCGATCTGTGTCAAAACTAGAATATAAAAATGTTATTTATAAGCATGCATATAAATGACATACATGATCTGTTTTTGGGGATGGGTGAATTAATTTGACCAGATTTTTTTTTGCATAACTAAATTATTAAATGCTGTAATTTGACAGCCTTTATAATAATAATAATAATAATAATAATAATAATAATAATAATAATAATAGTAATAATTGTGGATTTGATGGTTTTTTAAATTTGTATAATGACGTGTATAACCTGTGCATAATAAAAGGTGTTATAAAAAGGTGTTTTAAAAGGTGGTTTATAAGTATATGCCTTATGTCCTTGTAATTGAACATGCTAATAAATAATAAATAATGTTTTATTTATTTATTTATTTTTACATTCAAATTTTGCTATAGGTTTGATGGTTGGGTTCAATTTTTTTTTTTTTTTTTACTGTAAAAACCCTTTGCCTATATGGAGAGTCCTTGTAAATTACTAATACCAACATGTGTGTGTGTGTGTGTGTGTGTGTGGTTGTTTGTATGTAAACTGAAGTAGACATGAGGTTGAGGAGTTTGAGCCCATATGTCTGAATCAGCTTGGTGTAGTGGTCAGCATGTTTTTCTTTTCTTGTTTCATCAAGATATTTCATCTTGTATCATATTATACACTGTCAGACATGGCACATCTCAAGGGACAGTTGCATTTTCCTTTGATTGGTGGTAAAGCCCTGGACAGATCCAGAGAGTTTTAATCTAACAGTATCAGTAGGGGCGGGTTATTATTATTATTTTCTTTTCAATGGCTTATTTAGATTCCACAAATAGACCATTTCACTCTCACTGCAGGACAGGGTAAGTGTTAAATTGAGTCTCACCCTGATCCATCCTCCCACACTGTGATACTTCTGCCAGGTTCAAAATATTTTAAACAAAAGTCATTTCATTTTATTTTGGGCTATAATTGATTGCGTTTAGTAGAATTAAGAACTTGGCACTTCATGAGCCAGGCGAATGAGCTGTTATAGTGTGCCCTAACCAGGCATCATGACATGTTTCCTGTGAATAAATTTGCTATAAACAACACAATCACAGCCAAACAGACCATATTTGATTTTAATATATGTGTGGGGTCTTGTTTCTTCACAGTTGGCAGATGTAACCAGCATCAAACACCACAGAAATAGAATAATTTACATATTAATAAGCACATATTAAAAATAAAAAGGGTTTATTATAGTAGTGTGTTTGTCCAATTAGTTTAGGAAATTCCCAGATTTTCTAAAATGAGAAATTACTTATTTATTTTCCTTAAGCAATGCAAAGCAACTTTATCTTTTAAAAAAAAAACTGTTGTAGTTTTGTTTGTATTTTTTGGGGGGTGGGGGGTTAGGGTTACGGGGGTTGCTTTTTATTTATTTATCTAATGTTGATTTGCCTTAAATATGTTTGCTTTCTCCACATATAGAAACAAAGAAAGCAAAGCTATTTCTATTTTGCTTTTTTGTTTGTTTGTTTGTTTTG